CTACGACCACGACTCAAACTATCATTATTACTACCGCTGCTACAACTACGATGAGTCTCCCACCGCAACTGATACGTAATTCAAATAGTCGTGCTACGTCTAGCCATCCACAAATGCCACCAATCAGAAGGGCGAATGAGACGACAAAGCGACAACACGAAGACATATGGAATTATTATTATACAGAACAAACACGCTGCCACAATAGTGGGTGCACGACGCACAATGCACTGCATTGCGCGCGCAAGCAACCCGCGAGATCGTGTGCACAGACTGGGTGAACATTCTTGCTACAACAACCCGTGCCGGACAACCCCTCGGAAACTCTGCGGGGGTCCGGGCAAGCCCCTCTGGACAACCAGCCCCGTTTCTTCCACCTGACATACTGCACAAGTAGATGTTTCCAGAAATCCAGTGAGCGCGGCAACACGAGCAGATGTCCTGCCTTCTTTACGGCGTCAAGGCAGACGCGGTCGTGTGGCTGCCTGCTTCAGGAGGACGGCGTCGACCTCGTCCTGGAGCATGTTCAGCTTGAGCCACTGGTAGCGGTCCGCGATGACCTCCTCACAGAAGTGGGCAGGAAGGGGGTCGGGGATGGAAAAGAACAAGCCGTTGGCATGACAGCATCGAGGGTCAGTCGCACCCTCGAACCTTCTGTGGTGGCATTCGCGCCTCACCCTTTGGGGGGGGGGGGCGCCTGTAGCCCTAGAAAAACATATTCGAGAAAAGTGGGTGTGGGGTCAAGGGACAGCTGTCAGCTCATGATGTCTTGTGCGCGCAGAAACAGAAACTTGCTCCGTCCCCTCCTCAGCTGCCAGGTGAGCAATGATCAAAAACGGGTATTGCGCGAGTTGGCACAGCGACTCCACGCGGTGGCTCACGCGGCCCGCCCGCGCGGCATGCTACGCTGGAGCCGAGAGCGCCCACGCGCGACCTTACGGGGGCAGCGTACGCAACATTGTCGGCGCAGACTACCCCACTGTTTTCCGTGGCTCGGGTGGAAGCGCCAGAGAGTGCTTGCTGCCGCTCTGGGCCAAGCGCGCGTGCCTGCCAGCTCCTGCTGCCCGCTTCCTGCTCCGCCCTCGTCGCCCCTGGCAGGGAGGTCTGCGAGAGAAGGAGCGGACGCCCAGGATGTCCTCCGACATCGAAGCTCGAACGAGCCACACCCACATCGGCCACGCTTCACGGCCCAGATCTCCAGTGCCGTGGGTTCTTTCCTGCAGGACCATACAGCTCCTGACCTCTTTCCTTGGGCCAGGTTTTCGTCCCCGATCGTTTTGGGCTGTCCATGGGCTGGAATGCGGGTATCCAAGTGTCACGCCCGAAATTCAGGAAGAGGAGGAGGAGGAGGAAGATGAGGGGGAGAAGGAGGGGGAGGAGGGGGCGGAGGAGGAGGAGGAGGAGGAAGAGGAGGCGAAGGAGGCGGAGGGGAAGGCGGAGGAGGAGGACGTCTCAGCCAGGGCTGCCGCCGGTGGACGAGACGAGTCTCTTCTCAGGGCCCTCTCGCCATCCCGACACAAAGGAATGGCGCTTGTTCATCCCAGAGGGGGAGCTGCCATGGCTTGTGACACGAGCCCGTTCGCGCCAGATCGTCGGGACCTCTTACGCAGAATAACACTTGGGCATCCCAAAGAAGAGACGCCAAACGGTATGACATGGGCCAATCCGCGCTCAGACCGTCGGGAAATGTCCGCCGAAATGGCAGCTTTCGGTTGTATGCGCCTCTCTTCAGAGCACCATGAGGACCGCGTTGTAGCAAACGTTGCACTTCGGCATCTCAAAGAAGATCCCTTTGAGGGCGAAGACACGGCCCGTTTGCGTCATTTTCGGGGCATCTCAAGCAATCCAATATTGTGAGGGTGGACGCGTCGGTCTCCTTCTCCTCCGCATCCTCCTCGTCCTCCTTTTGCCGGCTTCTGTTTTCTCCCTCTCCTCCACTCCTTCTCCTCCTGCAACTCCTGTTCCTCCCTTCTCTGCCTCCCGGAAGAGACAGAAGGGCACAGTAATCCTCAGGAGATACCAGGGTTAGCCCAAGTACCTCAGGCAGCACAACGATGCCCCTGGAGTTCCAAGGCGTGCCCAGAAATCCACAGGAAGCTTCAGGGCTCCAGGAAGACCTCGATGCCCCAGGAGACCCTGTGAGGCCGAAGGGTGCCCCAGGGCACCCTCATGTTCGGACTCGTTCGTACGTAGATGTACCCGTACACATACCAACTCATAGGCAGACTCCCACATAGTCAATCCCAGGACTCACTCACTCTCAGAATCGTTCATGATCAGATCGACTTAGATTCATACCCCCATCATGCTCATACCAACCCATAGCAAACCAATCATGCTCAGACCCAACCATGCCAAATCACTCACCCGCAGGCTCACACCCGTGACAAATTGCCAGACTCGCGCAAACTCAGACTCACTCGTTGTCAGATCCACTCGCACGCATGCCCACTCGCCCCCAGACTCTCATTTACAGCTACGCACGCCCAGACCACTGGCACTTACGCAGGACGCGAGGCGTTCCTCTTGAGGCGCCAGCGGCGATGAGCGGCCGACGAGGGAGCGTCGGCGCCGCCGCCAAACGCGCGGCGTCTGCACAAGCTGCCTGTCGCAGCCGTGGGTTGAGGAGAGATTGAGGGGCAACGATAGGGGGCGAAAGGAATAGGGGGGAAACATCGACCTGGAATCGGCGATACATCGCCGATAGATCGGCGATAGGCCTCCGATAGTGAATCCGCACCTTCCTGGGCAGGTTGGGGCTATCGGGCCCCGATCGGCGATCAATGGGCGATTGGGGTTCGATGCATCCCCCTATGCCTATCCCCCCCTATCGTTGCCCCTGAAAGATGCATCCATGTTGGGTGCGACACGTGTGAGGTGAGGGCCAGTGGGGTCCGTGAGACGACGCGCAACCTGTCCGTGGCAGCTCGTAACCAGGCCCGCCTCCCCCGCAGACCCTCAACGGCAGCGGGCCTGGGTGCCGCGGAGCCGAGCTCCCTCGGCCCCGTGGCCGACTTCGAGCAAAATAATGTCTCAAACAAGGTAGATCGCAGGACGTCGTACAGTCAGCCCTTACAGTAATGATGCGCGGTAAGGATGCAAGGGCCTTGGACGCCCATGCCGAGGCTCTTCGAGCGGGGCTGGCCTTCGAAAGTAGTTGAGGATTGGCCGAAGATGACCGAAGAGGCAAGGATGCAAGGGTACCCTTGGGAAGTCGCTCATCCTTACTGTGCGGGTTGACTGTAGGATCCGTGTGAAAATTATCCTGACCAAAGACCCAACCATCTGCAGCTGCGAGTACCGCATTGTGGGTACCGGTTCCGGTGGAGCTCCCCATCGGGCCACGAAGCGCTGTCCAGTGTGGCGTTGACGCATGCGGACCCTGCCACTGAAGCCTTCGGCGGAGCTCCCTATGGGGGCACGATGCGCTGAGCTGGATGGCGTTGACGCATGCGGCCTGAGCCACTGGAGCCTTCGGTGGAGCTCACTGTGGGGTCACGAAACGTTGTCCTGGGTGGCGTTGACGCATGCGGCCTGTGCCACTGGAGCCTGCGGTGGAGCTGACTATGGGGCCACGAAACGCTATCCTGGGTGGCGTTGACACATGCGGACCATGCCACTGGAGCCTTCGGCAGAGCTCCCTATGGGACCACGAAACGCTGTCCTGTGTGGCGTTGACGCATGCGGACCCTGCCACTGGCGGGCCATGCCAGAGGAGCCTTCGGTGGAGCTCCCTATGGGACCACGAAGTGCTGTCCTGGGTGGCGTTGACGCATGCGGCCTGTGCCACTGGAGCCTTCGGTGGAGCTCTCGATGGGGCCACGAAATGTTGTCCTGGGTGGCGTTGACGCATGCGGCCTGTGCCACTGGAGCCTTCGGCGGAGCTCCGTATGGGTGCAGGAGGCGCTGTCGTGGATGGCGTTGACGCATACGGCCTGATCCACTGGAGCCTTCGGTGGAGATCCCTGTGGGGCCACGAAGCGCTGTCCTGGGTGGCGGTGACGCATGCGGCCTGTGCCACTGGAGCCTTCGGTGGAGCTCCCTGTGGGGCCACGAAGCGCTGTCCTGAGTGGCGTTGACGCATGCGGCCTGTGCCACTGGAGCCTGCGGTGGAGCTCCCTGTGGGGCCACGAAGCGCTGTCCTGAGTGGCGTTGACGCATGCGGCCTGTGCCACTGGAGCCTTCGGTGGACCTCTGTATGGGGCCACGAAACGCTGTCCTGGGTGGCGGTGACGCGTGCGGTCTGCGCCACTGGAGCCTTCGGTTGAGCTCCCTATGGGGCCACGAAGCGCTGTCCTGGGTGGGTGAAACGCAGGGAGGTGACTGGCGGATGGGAGGAGGGAGGAGGGGGAGGGGGAGGGGGGGAGGAGGGGGGGAGGAGAGGAGAGGAGGGACGTGGGGCGCTGTCTCTTCAAAACGAGGACCCAATATCACAGGATGGCTGATGGGAAGAGGGAGGAGGGGAAGGAGGAAGGAGTGAAGAACGCGTGGCGCTGCCTCTTCAAAACGAGGACCCGACACCACAGGATGGTTGGGAACAAAGCAGGACGGACATCAGATCCAAAACATCTCAAGTCGGATCCGCTCGGTCGGAAATCGGGTACATCACGGCACAGATCCAAACCACAGCCGGGTCCATACTACTTGAGTTGGATCCGCCAAGGTTTCAGTCATGCCCGCTGGCGCAAGAGTTGAAGCCACCATGCCCAGGCCCACTCAGACCCACTCAGACCCACTCGTATTCAGACTCGTACACACTCAGGTTCGCTCTTACCCAGACCCAGAAATGATTGGACTGATGTGCATCCTGTTCACACTCGGACCCGCTCGGACCCAGACCAGTTCCTTCTTGTTCAGGTTCAGACCAAGACACATTCAGACACAGGCGTGACCAGTTACCCGCATTGACCACCACCTACGCTCAGACTCGCGAATATTCAGACACTCACCCGCGGAAGTGCCGAAAGCGAGGTGCATGTATAGGAAGCTCAGCATCGCGTCAAAGTAGCTTACGGCCCTGCGGCCTGCCAAGGACGCTCAGGGGGACTCAGGGGACGAGAATTACCGAAAACTCGTCTCCGTAATTCTTAGCGGCGCGAGGAGCTGGCATGGACGCGAGAACAGCAGCGCCGCTTGCAACGCTCCCGTGGGGCGCGCCCGCCCCATCCTCCGTGTTGAGCTTCCTCAGCTGGCGGGTCCAATAGAAGTCCTGGAGGGGGCGCGGGCCGCTGGGAAACGGGCGGGGCCGCCAGCAGCTGGAGCGGGGGGGGAAGAAGGACGGAGAAGAGAGGAAGCGAAGAGAAGCGAACGCCGGAGTCGTGCGCGCTCGCTTGGGGAGCCCGCCAGTGCGGACTCAGGTAGTAACCACCAGTCAGTGCTGCCAGCGGCTGATAGCCATCGCAAGTAGTTCGAGCTGTTGCTTTCGTGTTGTCTTGGCTCGTGCTGCCGAGAAGAGAGGAGGGAAGCAGGGATACTGGATACTGGATTGGCCTGCCTCCAGAGAGCCCTCATGATACCTATGGCGCGGACCACATGCGACGACGATCGCGTGGCGCCCGAAGCTTGCCCTGCCTAAAACCATTGCGCGGACGACATGCAGAGACGGTCCCGAATCCATTCGAGGCTTGCTTCGAATGGCGCCCCAAGGTTTGCCTCGAAGTGCCAGGAACCAGTCCCCCTCATCCCAAGGGAAGGAAGGAACGAACGACCACCCGGGCGGACAAGAGTCTGGACCTGCTTGAGAACAGGATAGCGAGGCCGTAGCCTCCAGAAACTGTGGTGTTATTTTCATCGGAGGCCGAGGGGTGAGAGCGCAATGGAACGGAGAGCCCCCAACCGGGGAATCGGCTTCGGTGTCGTGCTCGTGTCGTGCGCGCGGGCGAGGCGAAGGCTGCGTGGGTGCTCGAGAGGAATGAGCCCACCGTCGCTGGGGCGATTCGGATGCAGGAGTCTGGCCCTCCAGCGGGCGCGCGTCGGCAGGAAGTGCTCAACCGTGGTGTCTCGCGGTGTCCCGATGGTGTGTCGTGGCGTCTCGCCGTAGGCGCCCGAGAGGAATGATCCCGCCGTCGCTAGGGCGATTCGGATGCAAAAGTCCAGCCCTCCGGTGGGCGCGCGGTGGCTGGGTGTGTCCCGCCGTGGTGTCCCGCGTTGTCCTGATGGTGTCCTGCGGTGTCCCGCCGTGGTGTCCCGGTAGTGTCTCGAGATTTCCCATGGTGTCCCGCGGGATCCCAATGGTGTCCAAAAGTGTCCCGTGGTGTCCAGTGCTGTCCCGCAATGTCCTGCGGTGTCTGGCCGTGGTGTCCCGATGGTGTCCCGATGGTATCCCGATCGATATTTAAGATCGATAACAACCGAGATGTTGTGAGATCGGTAGTGAGATCAATAGTTGGATCGATAGTGAGGTCGATGGTGAGATCGGTAGTTGCATCGGTCGTGCGAGCGGCAGTGAGATCGATAGTGAGATCGATAGCTGCATCATTAGTGTAATCGATAGTGAGGTCGATAGCGCGATCGATTGCGATATTGCGATCGATTGCGAAATCGACAGTCAGATCGATAGTGCGGTCGATTGTGAGCTCGATTGTGAGATTGATTGAGATCGCTCCAGAGATCAAATGGGGCATGACATCGATAGTGAGATCGGTCGAGTGAGATCGATAGCAAGATCGATCGTCATCATCACACCCATCGCAGTTGCCAGCAGTTGGTTTTCCCCTCACACAACCTCCTTATCACCCGAAGGGTGGCCGTATAGGCAAATGCGTGCGAGGCATAGATCAAGTTCTGTCTGGCAACGAGGAGGGAGAGGAAGGGTAATCCTTGTACTCGATGTCGTCGCGGGGTTGGTTGTGCCGCTTGGTTGCTCCAAAAGGGGGTCCAGCTGAATGGGGGTGGTGCATTAGGTTTGGGGCAATTGTTTTGCAAATGTGCTGCGCCAGAGAATTGGATTGCAATGTCTTGCATCTAACATATTGCAAGCGAAAACCCAGCAATACATCTGCGCACCAGCACGCCCCAAGTCTAGTGCAACCTCACGACAATATGTTGCACCAAATCTATGGCACCACCCTCTTCTCGCTGGACCCCCTTTTTGGGTCAACCAGTGCCGCGCCGCCCCGTCCTGGAGAAATCGGACAGGGAAGGCCTTCGAGGCCAGCGGGGGCCTGGGGCATCAAGAGGTACTGGCCAAGGGTGCCGAGAGCAGCCTCGGGCCTGGCGCTCGCGCGCGCGCCGCCGCCTGCGCACGACGCCCAGAAATTGTGAGCCGCAGTTCGCTCCAAATCCCCGCGAAAGAAGCATGCTGCCATTGTGAGCGTTTTCTCATTCGGCGTTTCGACAGTGGGCGGAAGGAAGGGCGGGAGGAGGGGGGGGGCTCCAGCGCTCTGCTTAGCACGACTGTTTGGGGGGAGACTCCGCCTGCTCGAAGCAGGCGCAAAAAATCAGCCAAGATCTACTCCACGAGGGGGGGGGAGCGGGTGCGAGGGCCCGCGCCGATCGGCAAAACAATGAATAAGAAAACGATCACTTTCCTGAACTTGGTTTGGAAGCTGGCGATGGCGATGACAATCGCGAACGCACGCTTGGCGGACCCTTTGCGTGCACAACGGAAATCGGTGCGGCAGAAGCAGTGCGAGCGCTGTTCGCACGGCCTGCTGCCATCTGAGAACGCACCCACATCGAAGTGACGCGTTGGAATCAACATGGCGGAGCCATGGTCTGGTGGATAGCGCATGTCGCGCATCCCTGGCGCCTCAACGAATACCCGCACCGCCACAACGCGCTGGCCTAACAAACAATCAAACACTGAACAAAACGGAAAACAGAAACCTCGTCCGCAGATTCCAAGGGCTCCCAACTTCGCGCTTCGCGCTGCGCGAAGCGCGAAGTGCGAATAACTTCGCGCTCTCGCGCCGCCTCCCAAGGGAGAAGAGGAGGATGAGGAATCGGAGCCGAACCGCGAAGCGCGAATAACTTCGCGTCCTCGAGGGCGCCCTTGCGGACTCTGTACTGTCTGCTGCAGAGAGGCCATACCTAGGAATCTAACGTGTCTGGCCTCCTGGGGTCAACAACCTCCGGGGGAGCCATCTGCACTTCGCTCCTCCAGCCCCGCCAGCTCCTCAGCCTGCGGCAAAGGCGTGAGTTCCTCGCCTCTCTGCGTTGCGGGCGCCAATCGCAACCAAAAGAAAGGCGCAAGAGCCATGATGAGGAGGGACCTAGAGATGCGAAAAACGCACGAGAAATCGAGGGGGAACGAAGAGAGGTGAACCCAATGAACGAGGAGTTCAGGGGGGAATGGATCCTCCACCCAGGGGTCCATCCGCCTACCTCCTCCACCTCCTCCTCCTCTTCCTCCTCCTCGTCCTCCTACTCGTCTTCTCTTATTATCATTAATCGTATTCGCATTCGTATGTTCACTCTTCTCATTCATGCCCTGTATTTACATGACTCTTACGATGACTGATGCTATTAGCATGGCTTTGCTTATGATTGCCAGTCTTGTTACTATGCATCGTATTCGTATTCCTTATTACTAGTCTACGTATTCTTCGTATCATTAGTAATACTGTCGTTATTTTTACTACTACGAATGAGGTGATTATCTTTCCTCCTCCTCCTCTTCCTCCGCCTCTTCCCCCTCCTCCTCCTCCTCCTCTTCCTCCTCCTTCTCCCCCTCCTCCTCCCCCTCCCCCTGGCTTCCCAAGCGCGTTCTCTCTGCCTCTGACAGCCCGAGAGATCCCGCTCTGTCTGCCGGGACGGAGGGGGGGGGAGCTGCGGGTCGGGGGGGCGGAGGGCGCCCGGAGCGCAAGAAGCTCCTGCCGAGGAATCATCGCGGGTTCCTGGCGGATTCCTCGCGGGTGCCTCGCTGGCCGAGCTGTTCCTCGCGGGCTCGGGTGGCCACTCGGTCCCTGCTGCAGGTACAAGCAGCGCTCCGCTGCGGAGGGCTTCTGAAGCCCTCCAGAAAGAAGAGGGCGAGGGTCATCTCGTCCGAACGGGAAACGTCAGACTGACATTCATTCACTCTGATGTTGACGTCAACCATCCTCCCCCTCTCCCTCCCTCTTCCTCCTCCTCCTCCTCCTCCTCCTCCTCCTCCCGCTCCTCCTTGCTCCCTCTTCCTTGTCCTCCTTGATCTCTCCTCCTCCTCTCTGCTTCTCCTCCTCCTCCTCCTTCTCCGCCTCCTCCTCCTCCGATCCTCCTCCTCAGCATCCATCAGACTCACCATCATCGCCATTACCATCACCATCATCATCACAATCACCATCACAGTCACCACAATCACCAACATCAGCATCATCAGCAGCAACATCAGCATCATCATCACCATCAGCATCAGCAGCATCAGCATCAGCATCATCATCATCAGCATCATCATAAGCAACAACAGCAACAGCAGCAACAGCAACAGCAACAGACACAGCAACCACAGCAGCAATAACAACAACCACACTCAATTGAAGACTCTTCGCTCTTATCTGCTCGCCGGCCATTCAACACGTATGTCCCAAACCTTGAATTCCCGCCATCTTCGTCTTCGATCGTAAACCCTTGGGGATATGCATCTTTCTCAACTGCGACGTGTATTTCGTGCAGCCCCTAAGACAGGGGAAGAGAGGACGGATGGAAGGAAGGGACGAGGGGGAGGGAGGAGGATGGAGCAGGGGATGTGCAGGAGGGGGCTAGGAGCACAAAAACGTGGCACAACCAGACGGGCGGGTAGACTCTAACGGGCGGGTCGGGAATGCGGGCTCAAGCGTCCAGGTCGAGCAGGCGGGCTTCAAGCGCGATTATTGCATGAATCGCGAAGAAGTCTCGAGCGATAGAGCGATTCCTGAATAAATCGCAAGGAAATGCGAGAGCGTGATTCCTGAGTGTCGAGGGCGCGGGGGCGTCTGAACGAATGGCGAGAAAGCCCTACGCCCTACGCGAGAGCGCGATTCCGGCACAAATCGTGAGGACATCCCGCGCGAGAGCGCGAGTCGGGAATCAATTGTCAGGATGTATCAAGCGGGAGCCGCTCTTGTTGTAAACCAGGGGCCAGGGGCGCAGTTTGGTGACACCTCGCTTTCCCTTGTAAACAGCCGGGTGCGAGCCCAGGGAAAAGCCTTTCCATTGAAAAACAAATTAGCCTGGCGAATGACCCAACCATACGCAGTTGTGAATACTGGGGTGGAATCGGCAGGCGGCGCCGGGTCTGACCATGGAGGTACCTATCGTCCGGGGGACGCTTCTGCAGCCAGAACTCTGGCAGCATCTCGTTCTTCTAAAGCACCTGGCAAAATTCCTTCGGCCAGAACGCTTGCGGCGGCCAGTTCGGCCCCGCGGACCTTGCGTGCCCGCCCGGCAGCGGTTCCCTCACGGGCGGCCTCGGTTTCGGGCGACCGGGGAACAATGCCAGTTTCTAAACGGTATGCCCCCATTCTTGCGAGAAAGCTGATCAAGCAGAACAAGCTTGCTGCATCATCTTCTTCTTCATCATCATATTCTGCACGCGAACGTCCAGCAGCTGCTGTGACGAAGGCGCGGGATCCAGCTGTCGAGGCTCGCGCTGCGCGTCTCCGCCTGGCTGCTCAGGGATTGCCATGGCTGTGTTCGCCTACGTTGTCATCCACCGGGGTTTCCTGCCAACGCTGCTCACGCACTGCATCTACACCTTCGTCTATGGCACAGCCCGGGCGTTTCTGTGCGAACGTCCCCTGTCGTTCGCGCGCCTCACCGCCGACTACGCTGGAGCGCATGGCCACCTTGATGTCTTTGGCACTGGTGCGACGATACTCTTCGGCGTCTTCTCCGCAGACCCACGGTGCTCAAGTGGATCGTGCGCGGGAGTTGCAACTTCGGCTTTGCACAGATACTTGGAGGGGTTGGAAATGCTCACTCTGCACATACAGCATCCCGGAGCAAGTTACAGACCGCGTGACCGCTCATCGCCAACATCTGCTCAGCCATGGGACTGCAGGCAGAGAAATCCTTTCCGCCCGCAAGGGCCAGGTCAAGCAAATCGCCAAGGACCCGATCGTCACCGCGAGACGCTATGCTACGCGTCGTGCTGACCGTCACGCCATGGCCACGTTCATCATTTCTCAGTTTCCTCTGTGGGCCTGCCGCCTGCAGTTCAAGGAGGGCGACACTTACGGCTTCGAGTGCTCGGCGTGCAGCTGGCGCACGCCGTCTCTGCAGTTCGCGCGCTCCGACCCCCTCTGCAGCGGTGCCCCGGAGGACGCCCAGCAGGCCGCCTCCGAGATGTCAAGAGGACAGCGGGTGGCCACCATCTCCGACATCGCCACTGTCGCCAAGCAGCAGCGCCAGGAGCAGGCGTCGCAGCGCAAGCACGAACGCCGCCGCCTCCTGGCCAAAATGCACCGTCCGACCCTTGTCTGCTAAGGCCCCCCGGGACCTCAGGCTCCTGACCCGCATCATCGGGAGCTGCACCAAACGTCGAGTGGGACTTCTTTCGCTACTCGCTGCGCATGCCCCCCACCTCAGCTTTCTCCAAGAATGCGCCCTTCCTCGCGGTCAGCGGCACATTCTACGCGCTGATCTACATGCTGTTGGCCGGAATGGCTTGTGCACCATCGTGCGGGACGGGCTCGTCGTCGCCCCCGTCGACGCCCCCCCTGCGGACGCCGACTTCCGACGCCACGCAGGTGGGACAGGCCCGCCCCTTGATGCGTCATCGGCACGCCCATTCGGGCTCAGCCTCCGAGAGGGCGCGCTTCGACTCGCAAGTTTTTCGTGAACCCGCGCGCCTTACTATTGACGCGGGGGATTTCAACGAGCTCCCAACCTTCGATCAGGAAGACCACCTGGCGCCAGTTTTCCCGGGAGAGCATACTTATTGTCTTAACGCAGCGGATCCCGGCCGCAATGCTTCAACGATCGACGGTGTTGTTTTTCTTCGACCGTGATGGCGGCGGCGACTGCTACTGCACTGCCGCGCGTGGAGTCCTCGCAACACCGACCTGTCCTCATTCAGGCTGCCATGGCCCCTGAGTTTCACGAAGCTCTACGTTAGTCCGTGGACGAGCCGATCGATTGTGGGGCGTGGACCTCAGAGGCCAAGGACCAGTTCGACGTGGACATCGTCGCCGGCATCGACAAGGCATGGGCCACCTGGGCCACTGCCGCCGGCGCGCCCGACTCCCGAATACTGCGCCAGAGGGCCGGCGGCGGCTGGACTGCCGGGCCGCGCGCCCAGGAGGTCCACAATTTGTGGAAGAAGGCTCGTCGCGAACTCCATCGCAGCGATCGCGACGCTGCCGAGCGCGCCATCGGCATGATCACCAGCATCATCGATGACGCCACGAGCCAGCGCCTCCACTCATGGAGGCAGCGGGTCGCCACACGAGGCGGCGCGGGCAGGTGGGCCAATCAACGACTTAATGATCTGCGGGGAGCTGTTCTGCCTGCTTTTGGTTCAGAGACTATGTCGCCACGGGAAGTGGCACGTAGACTCAGCACTTCGTTGTCCAAGCGTTGGAATACTGGCGTATTTCAATTGTCTCATCTGCCTGGAATGCGCGTCGACGTTGTACGTTCCCCCCTGGATCACGCCCTGCTTCGACAACATGTCCCGCCACCAGCCCCTCTTCAACGACATCCTTTTGATTTGTCTATCTTGCCAGCTGTGCCTGTTTCCCGCGCCCCGGGGCCGCGGCAGGCGGAGCGCGTCATCGCATTCCTCCCCGATGGCGCGAGCGGGATCGACGGGCATGCCGTTAAGTGGATTGGACATCTTCATCGAGACTCTCTGGGGCGGCTTGCGCAGCTGCTCGCCGCTGCCGACCAGGGCCGCTTGCCGCGCTTCTGGAGCATGGCTCGCGCGACCCTTATCCCCAAAAGTCCGGGGGCGCCGCCTGACGAGCGCAGGCCACTCACTGCACTGCCCGCGACGCGTCGGCTTTGGGCCCGGCGGCGCGCAGCAGCCTTAACTACCTGGCTGATGAGTTGGAAGCTGGGCGGCCTAGCGGGAGCGGCGCCGCACCGTTCCTGCCCTGATGTGCTATGGGAGTTGCAAGCTCATCTCGCTCAAGCTCGTCTTGGTCGAATGCCCCCTGCGTTTGTTCTATCCATGGATCTAGAAAAATGCTACGACCGACTTGACATTCCCGATCTTCTGCGGCTCACAGGGCATCTTGGGCTACTGGCACGCGGCCGCGTGCTTCGCAACTACCAGACGCTCGAGCGCATCCTCTTCGTGGGCAACCAGCCCACGGACGTCCTCCTCAAGGGCTCCGGGTTGGTGGGCGCCCCCCAAAGTTGCCCGATGGCCTGCTTCTCATGCTACTTGACGTCCATCATGTGGCATCTGACGGTGTCCCATGCGGTGCCGACAGCCAAGCACTTCTCCTACCTGGACGACCGGTTTGTCCTTGTTGCGTCCTGGAACAAATTGGCTTGAGTACTTGAGGTTACTCAACACGTTGATTTGGCCATTGGTCCTGATCTTAATCTACAAGAGTGCGCTCGAGGCGTCGTCGCCCCTGTGGGTCGCAGTGTCCCCAAGAGTGCTGAGCCGAGTCTTCGAGACATGCCTCTATGCAGAAGCATTTTCGGCACTCGGGCATCGATTTAGTCTTGGGCGAACCGTCTGCTGCTCCAATGGCCAGCCGCCGTGCTCACCAGCTTCGCAAACGGCTACATGTCGCTCGTGTACTACCTTACGTTCAACGAGGCGCGGCGGTCGCAGATGCCCTGTCAGCGGTGTGGTGCGACGGGGGTTATGCCTATATTGTACGCGATATTCGCCAAGCGTGTTCTTGGGCAACTCTTGCTCTTCCGAGGGACGCACTATTCGCCAGTCGAAACAGCTTACTCATCTTCTTGGGCCTGGTTGTCACAGGACTCACTTGGGGCGTGTGGCCATCTACATCGTTGTTCGGCTGTTCTATCGTGTGACCTTGGCTGGCATTCTTCAACCAGCCGACTGGCAGTTTTTATGGGCTCACCGCAGTCGGATACCTTTTGGGCCCCTTACGCTTCTGTCGCGGGCGTGATCGACCCTCCAGATTGATTGGCACATAACTACCGCTTTCAAGGCTGGGAGTCGCAGGCTCGCCTTCACCATCCGTCCAGACTTTCTTGCAAATGCCGGCCGGGATGCTTTTCCAGGTCTTTGCAAACGGGTCCCAGTGCAATCATAGCTTCATAAACTACGACCTTTTCTTATGTTTGCCCTCGCTGGAAGCGAAGCGAGGCGGAGGCCCAAAGACTTTGGCGGCTTGTCCAACGGCCTCACCGAGAACCGAGACGCACGGGAGCATCTTTATGCTGCTCAACTACACTTCGGAAGTCCTGCCCTCACCTCCGCTGGTTTTTGGACCCGGCTACACGTCTCACGCATCGCCGACCACGATGGCGACGAGTTCTGTGTACGTTGCGGCACAGCAATGGAGACAACTGAACACCGTTTGTGGCTCTGGCTTGACCAACAGGCTCTTGGCAACCAAATTCCGGATGGTCTTACTCCATGTCTCGCACGTTGTGGTCTTATCCCTTCTCCATTACCTGCTGGTCTTTCTCTTCACCTTGCTGTACGTGTTTCACAATATTTGTTATGGGTCAACGCTATTATGGGTCAACGCTATCGCTACTCAGGCGTGCGCGGACGCGCGCCACCATCGACATCTTCGCTTGGATTTGGACCGGCCGGTTTCTCAACCTCTAGACTTCATCTACGCGAGCGCCTTACCTCCGCTACGGCGCATCAAGCGTGTCATCGCACCAATTGCGCACGATGTGGACGACGGCCTTCCGCGAGGGGCCAGCCTGCCACCGCAATTCCCCGGCACGGCCTTCCAGCATCCGGTTAACGTGGTGGTCTCGTGTGACGGCAATGCAACTCTCAACGGGGACGAGTCTAAGTCGGGGTGGGGTTTCACGGTCGCTCTCCCCGGTTACGACCAGCTGCTGGATTTCTGTGGTCCTACAATATTTGCTGGTGATGATGAGGCTTTCGTTGGTGGTACACGGCATTCCAGCAATGTGGGGGAGATTGCGTTTTTCTACTTTGCCCTCAACTTCATCAGCGATTTGTTGTCTCCTGACACAGACCATTGTTTACAACGTATCCTACAACATCGCGGGGCGGCGCCCGGTATTTCCAATGGCCCCCCTAACGGTCTGGACGGGCGTGCCGGCCTATCCGCTATCGATCTTCGCCATCGTCTTCAATCCGTACATCTTTCATCATTTGTGGTTGAGTTTGGTTCTCAATATGCTGCAAACGTTGTTCGCAGACACGCCCGTGCTCGTCGCAACTTAACTCTTGTCTTACGGGCGCGGCAGATCCTTGACAGCATCGATCATCATACTACGTGGACCAAGGTTGTTTCTCACAACGGTGCCGCACTAAATGACCGTGCTGATCAGCTGGCTGATTGCGGTGATAATGGTATGTCATCCCCCTTGTCAGCGTTTTCCACGATTTCAAGAGGGGTTCGAGCTTCGCGGTTATATTTGGCATTGTGTTCAAGTAGCCCTTTGGACTTTTTCATGATCACGCAGTTGTGAATATCGTCGCTGTTAGTATCGCCTTCGGCGAATGCCCTTATGGTGCCACGAAGCGCATGAAGAGTGTGCCGAAATGGGGTAGGCCGGAGCTCCCTATGGGGCCACGTAACGTGTGAGGGGTGTGTCAAAATAGGGCGTCGCCGCCATGCGGACAGCGCAACTGGCACTTTTTGGTGGAACTCCCTACGGGGCCACGAAAAATGTTAGGGGTGTGCCAACATGGGGCGGCGCCGCCATGCGGACTGCGCTACTGGGACCTCAGGTGGAGCTCCCTATGGAGCCACGAAGCGTGTGAAAGGTGTGCCAACATGGGGCGGCGCCGCCATGCGGACTGCGCCATTGGGGCCCTCGGTGGAACGCCCTACGGGGCCACGAAAAATGTTAGGGGTGTGCCAACATGGAGCAACGCCGCCATGCGGACTGCGCCACTGGGACTTTCGGTGGAGCTCCCGATGGGGCTACGAATCGTGTGAGGGGTTTGCCAACACTGGGCGGCGGCGCCATGCGGATTGCGCCGCTGGGACCAAGAGGTGGAGCTCCCTATGGAACCACGAAGCGTGTGAAAGGTGTGCCAACATGAGGCGGCGCCGCCATGCCTATGGGGCCACGGAACGTGTGAAAGGTGTGCCAACATGGGGCGGCGCACCCATGCGGACTGCGCCACTGGGACCCTAGGTGGGGCTCCCTGTGGGGCCACGAAACTTGTGAGGGGTGTGCCAACAAGGGGCAACGCCGCCATGCGGACTGCGCCACTGGGACTTTCGGTAAAGCTCCCTACGGGGCCACGGAACGTGTGAGGGGTGCGCAACATGGGGCGGCAACGCCATTCGGACTGCGCCACTGGGACCTTATGGAACCACGAAACGTATGAAAGGTGTGCCAACATGAGGCGGCGCCGCCATGCCTATGGGGCCACGAAACGTGCGAGGGGTGTGCCAACATGGGGCGGCGCCGCCATGCGGACCGCGCTACTGTGACCGTAGGTGGGGTTCCCTATGGAACCACGAAGCTTGTGAGGGGTGTGCCAAAATGGGGAGGCGCCGCCATGCGGACAGCACCACTGGGACCTTCGGTAAAGCTCCCTACGGGGCCACGAAACGTGTGAGGGGTGTGCCAACATGGGGCGGCGCCGCCATGCGGATTGCGTCACTGGGACCTTCTGGGCCCACGAAGCGTGTGAAAAGGTGTGCCAACATGGGGCGGCGCCGCCATGCCTATGGGGCCACGGAACGTGTGAGGGGTGTGCCAACATGGGGCGGCGCCGCCATGCGGAGTGTGCTACTGGGACCTTCGGTGGAGTTCCATTTGGGACCACCGAGCGCGTGAGAGATGTGCCATCATGGGGCGGCACCGCCATGCGCAGGACGAGAAGAATCTATTGACACAACGTGCTATTGATACGTTCCAGAGATTCTGGGATTTCTAACAGCCTTCGCGCGGGGCACACTTTGCGTCGAGTATTGTCTAATGTGGTTGGCGCCGCTGGTCGGTCACCCATTCGCAATCGAATGGTCGCCCGTAAAGGAGCTATTTGGCACTTGCTGACCCATCTTCTCGTTGCCGAGCGCGGGGGGGGGGGGGCGGTGGCGCAGCGTCCCATCGCCCACCGCCGCGCACCGCGCGCCTCGGCGGACTTCCAAAAACCTGGCAATGCAAATCACGCGCGACTCTGGAAAATTCTCCGGGTTTAATTCTGAACAAATCCGGAAACGTGTTTGAACATGTCCGGCCTACTTTTTTGAAAACTACAACAATCGAGTTTGCAAACTGCCAGGATGGATTTTGAAACATTCAGGAATCCATGTTGGAAAATTCTGGATTTGAGAACACTTCAGATGTCCTGCGCGGCGGGCGCATTCCACCCCTCAGAACTGTTTGTTGAAAAATTCCGGGCTCGTTTTTGAACAAATCCGAGACCGCTTGCGCAAAAAAAAAAATGGAACCATTTCCTGACACATCCTACAATCCACAAATAATTTCTGGGCGGTCAGACGGGCGCGGCCGGCTGATTCACGCGCCGCGCCGCGCGCGATTGGGCGCAACGCGCGCCGCGCGTTGCGCCCGCGAGCAGCACTCGAAGGGGCTACCTCGAAAACAGCACCACGGCAGCTGCGACTCGCGGGCTCCCCAAGAGCAACACAGCATGCAGCTTGGAATCTCCGAGGGCGCTCCGATGCGCGAAAAATGCACCACGAACATCACGCAAAGAACCTGCGCGACGGAATGCGCTCGACCATTCGTCCCTGAAGCCCGCGCGGAAGAACAGGAAAACCTGGAAATCTTGAAAATTATCAATGTCAACACTTCATGCTCATCTGAATGCGGACTGCGCCACTGGGACCTTCGGTGGAGCTCCCTGTGGGGCCACGAAGCGTGTGAGGGGTGTGACAAAATTGGGCGGCGCCGCCATGCGGGCTGCGCCACTGGGACGTTAGGTGGGGCTCCCTATGGGGGGCCACGAACCGTGCGAATGGTGTGCCAAAGTGAGGGGAGTGAGGGGAGGAGGGAGGAGGGAGGAGGGGGAGGAGGAGGAGGAGGAGGAGGAGAGGAGAGAGGAGGAGGAACACGGGGGCCGTCTCTTCTAAACGAGAACCCAACACCACAGGATGGCTGCGAATACAACGGTTATCGGACAGGGGGGCATCAGCAACAGTCAGTACTGAGAACTGGGAACTCAACAACAACAGCAGCAACAACAACAACACGAACACCACCAACAACAGCAACAACACAACAACAACACCGGCGACAACAACAGCGACAACAGCAACAACATCCATGCCAATACCAATATCAATAACAGCGCCAACAGCAATCGCAACATAATCAGCAACCACCACAGCAGCAACAACAACGACGACAACAACAACACCATACGCAACAAAAACGACACCAGCAACAACAACCACAACAACATCACCACCACCACCAACAACAACACCCTCATCATGAGCAGCATCATCAGTAGCAGCATCAGCATCAGCATACTCAACATCAGCATCGTCATCATCGGCATCATCATGATGATAACCACCACCGTCGACACCATCCCCATCAACTTCATCTTCAATGTCCTCGGCCTTCCACTCCTCCTCCGCCGCATCCTGCTCCCTCCCTTTACCCTCTCCTCTACACCACATCCGCCTACAGAAGGGGTGGATTGAAGAGGACACGCGAGAGGACACAAGTCTCTTCCGAGGGCCACATTGCCGCATTAATGTGCAAGCATGGAGCGCGAGGCACAGGACGAACACCCAGGGTACCCTTGATTTGGCTGGGTCGACCTGCTAATTGGCCTCGACTGTGATGTGCACCTTCCGCCCTCCATCGAGCAAACCGCCCCGACGGGCCCGAGGAGCCGCCCCCCACAAGAGCGGCGGTCGGGTCTGCGGTTGGGGACGTGGCACGGCGGCGGCCGGGAGAGCGCCGAGAGAGGCCCGCACGGAGGGTCCTTGAAGGAGCGGTAGAGCATGGGGGTGAAGAAGAGCAGCAGGAAGAAAGGGCCAACGTTGGCCTCGCCCCAGCGCGCCGCCAAGGGGGCTCTACGTAGAGGTCGCCTGGAGGTCCTAGACTTAGAGGCGGACTCTTACAGGCGGATTTCGGAAGACAAATAATCAAGCAAGCCACAAGGTAGACAATAATAATCAAAACATCGTCCCCAGGCTATTTGTTTGACCATGTTGGAATATTCCTCCTGTCGAGGGACATGCCCGACTTGAATCCTAGACGGAGGAGCAGGAGCAGGAGGGTGGGAGGGGGGGGAATTGGGAGGGAGGGATCAGGACGAGGAAGGACGGGGGAGCCCACGTTTGCACTGCCCGAGCGTGTGACTGATAGAGCTTCTGGGGGCTCTTACGAATCCGAAGAGGAAGAAACGAAGAGCGAGGAGGTAAGAGGAATGAGGAGGGAGCAAGATCAGGATCCAGGAAGAGTAGGAGAGGGGAGAGAAGGAGGAGGAGGAGGAGGCGAAAGGAGGGAGAAGAGAAGAGAGGAGCGAAGAGGAGAGGAAGGAGAGCAGCAAGGACGAGAAAACAAAGGGGCGGAGGAGGGCGGAGGGCGGAACAAAACGCTCCACATCGTCCTCGCTCTCTGGCGTGCGGCACGAGGGACATTGAGTGAGGAGCGAGTGCGAAAAGCCTTCCTCTCGCTCTCGGCACCAGTCTGTCCATCCCTCCCCCATTCGGGGGGGAGGACGACGGCAAGGGCAACGACGACGACGAGCACGACGAGTGCTGCAGGGAGGGCCCATCAAGTTCCGAGGGAACCCTCGCGGGGAGGGCGGGGGTCTGGGGAGCCTGGGGGGGGGCGGAGGGCCCCAGGAGAGCGACGTGGATATGACGGGTGAGCGGTGAGATCCTGGGCGACATGGCCGGCAGGGAGGGAGGACAGCATTGTCGCTAACGTGCAAATCTGGAAGCTCCTTCTGGAATCTACATCTCGCCCGCCCGAAGGACGAAACCAGGGCCCAGTCTACGCCATGTCCCTCGATCGTGATTTGTTTTCTGTCCGGGGGCCAGAGGGGGCAGCCTGTGGGGGAAACGCTTCACAGCTGAGCCAGGCCTCCATCGTCCTGAGAATGTCATGGCGACTGTCCTCCATCGCCCATGCTGGAAAAACCATACCCCAAACGACGTCGTCCCTCGTGGAAAACGGTGCCGACGGCGTGCTCACAAGCGTTTCTCAAAACAAGGTTTGCACTCAATCTTTCGACATGTCTTCCAAATTGCGGGGGACGCACTGACCCGGGTCAACGCAGACACGGGCCAGCCAGGCTTTGTTCGATTTTGCCAGATCCCGCAGGATCGTGCACCCCGACACAGGTCGATGCACCCCTAGCTCTGCAGGATCCTGCAAGATCAGGCGCTCTGGCTGACCCACGTTTGCATTGAACCCCGTCTCTTGAACCCCGAATGTGTGGGTTTCCCGCTGGTGCCCGACCATGGGCACCCCGTGCCCTGGCCGGGATTGCCAAGTCTCCGCCCAGTGCTGTGCCGTGGGCGCCTCGTGGGAGCCCCGTGCGCTCGCATGAATCAAAGCGTTTTCGGCTGATGTGTGTTGCGTTCCACGTGTCCTGGCTGGGATTTCCAGGCTTATGCCTGGTGCCTGGCCGTGTTCTTTGGCTGTTCGCGACGCGCGCGCGCTGAGCGGTCGTGCCGACGCGCGGCGGCGCCCAACGCCTCGAGAGGCGGTGCCCGGCTCAGGCGAGTGCACCTGACTGCGGGAGGGGGTGGGCACAGCGTGACGTGCTGGAATTTACCGATGTTCGCAAGGAGACCGCCCGTGGGCGCCTCGTGGGCGCCACATGGCTTACACCGCATAGCTTGCACACCACAGCCTGGACCGCATCGCTTGTACCACACAGCTTGAGCCGCCTATGTTGCACCACCTAGGTTGCACCACATAGCTGTCACCACATGGATTTCGCCACATAGTTTGCACAACACATCTTGTACCACAACGTGTACACCACATAGCTCGCATCACACAGCTTACACCACATAGATTGCATTACATATCTTGAAACGCATAGCTTGCACCCCACATCTAGCACCCATAACGTGACCACATAGCTAACATCGCAAAGCTTTCGCACAAAGGCTTGGCCCTCATTGCTTGCACCCACACAATTTGCATCACATAGCTTACACCACATAGTTTACACGTCAAAGCTTACAACTCTCAGCTTGAACCACATAAATTGCACCACGTAGCTTGTACAGCATAGCTCACACAGTGCAATAACCCACTTTGGTAGGGCGCACGCTTGCAAACATGGATATTGGCACAGCAAATAAATATGCGTGCAGGTAGCTTCGGCCGGGGGTCAAATAGATAGACTAAAACACTTTTATCGAATGCAATCACGGCCCCTGTGGAGGAGCTCGCATATCGTCACCGCGCCCCCTCAAGCACGCGCCTGAGTTTGAGCCCCAGCCAGAAGCGCCTGGGTGCACGCGGAACGCTACGGGAACAACCATGGAGCGACCTCAGGAACGGCGATCCCTTCCAAAACTCCCAGTGTTCCTGAGAGCAACCTAAAGAAAATGTAACGTCATAATATTCAAAGATATAGGCTCACAAGAGGCACTGCAATGGCACCGAACACGCTCCGACGAGATCTTGAGAGATCTCAGAAAATCCCCAAAAAATGCACACTATACCAAACACGCTTCTCACGACGCGCCAGAAAACTCGTAAGACGCGCAAACAAATCTCGTGAGTGCCGCCACATAAAACCGTAACGGGCGCCTCTTGGGTAAGCGGGGGGACCGCGGGGTCTATTCATGTAGCCTCGCGCCTTCGCCGTACTCGTCGTTTCAAATACCCCACAGCACTTTTGGCTACGGAGAAACCCACGGGGCCACCCGGAAACCCATCTGCGCGACGACTAGACAAGGGTCTTAGCACGCACGATGAGATAGTGACCCGACCTTACGACGCGGCCTACGCGGGCCGTCGGCGCGGCACGCTGCATTAGAAACGAGGGCGCTTACGCGCGACCTTACGCGCGCAGCTTGCGCGCGAACGCCGGCGCAGTCGACCACATTGTCGGGGCGCGCATCTGGCAATTGACAGAGTCCAAGCCATCGGGACCTCCAAAGGCCCGCCTCAAGCCATGGGGCACACGGAGAGAACCGCGTCTCGGCACGAGACCTGTGTGTCCAGAGAGATCCAGCGGCCCAACGTGTTGAAAATCAGTCGGGACATCGGAGGCCTGGGGCCAAGGAATGGGACGCGTAAAGAAACACCAGTACTGTGTTTCTTCTTTGGAGGCATGCGTCTGACCAGATTCTATACAGTACAGCAGTCTTATCATACATCGTTGCACCAGCGGTAAAGCCAGCAAGCGCCCGCCACCGCGCATACACTGCAAGATTTCCTGGCGCGCGCGTCGCCCCTTTGGGGGCGACGCAAACACAGTATTAGAATGTTTGAGTGGCGCACTCGAGGTATAGCTCTTTTCTTGAATAGTGGGAAAGATCAAACAGAAAGTATAAGGCATGTCTGGTCTTCGGCCAGAAGCATTGACAAACTTGACGTATGGAAAAACGCAACGTCGGATGTCTTGGAAGATCAGATCATCAGAGGTCCCTGGGGGCGACGAAGACCCGAGGAGAAGAATCAGACGAGATGAGACGACGCCTGGAGGAGGGCTTCGAAGAATGGCAAGCGCCAAATCGGAGGCGGTGCTGACACACAACGAGGCGAACAGAACCGTGGCTAAACAAGCACAGGAGCCGCAAGGGAGGAGCGAACTGCCTTCGACCAGAAGTACTTCTCCTCGAAGTAGACGCCAGGAGAGAAGCTCTTGACCTCCCGCCCTGGAGAGAGCCGCGTGTCCGACGGTTCACAGATGCCAGGCTGTGCCGACTGCCAGGCCTCACAACAGCTGTTACCAGTACCCGACTTCCACACACACAATGGACGTATATACGATAAACACACGAGTAGGGACAGTGGAGGAAGGCCCAGATACGCCCATAATGCAACCCTTTTCCATCCCCTTCTGCACCTTCGTCCCCCACAAGGAACGAGATCACCCGCCCTGGTCATTACTCCACCTCCTCTCCTTCTTCTCCTGCTCCTCTACTTCCCCTCCCTTCTTATGCTCGCCCGTTCCTATCCCCCTCCTCCTACCCCTCCTTCTGCGCCTGATCGTTCTCATCCTCCTCCTCCTCCACCTCGTCGTCGTCGTCACCACCATCATCAGAATGCCATCAGCATCATCATGGTCTTCTTCTCCATCATCATCAGCATCAGCATCAGCATCAGCATCACCATCATCATCATCATCCTTCTCATCCTCAACCTCAGCCTCATCACCACCACCACCACAATCATCCTCTTCCTCCTCGCCTTCATCCTCCCACTCCCCATGCCGCCCTCCACATGAGGACTCCGTGTGCAAGTCTTCCATCTGATGCTGCTGCTCCTCCTGCTCCTCCTCCTCCTGGATCGCATCTCCATCCCGCCACCCTCCTGCTCTCTCCCTCTCTCTCTATCCCTCTCTCTCTCTCTTTCTCCCTCCTCCCTGTTCCCATTCCACCTTCTCCGTTGCAACTGCTCCTCCTCGTTCCGTGCAACTTCCCCTTCCGTCTCGTCCTGCGTTTCCAGCTGCCCGTCATCCATCTCCTCCTCCTCCTCCTCCTCCTCCTCCTCCTCCTCCTCCTCCTCCTCCCCCTCTTTCATCCACCTCCTCCTGCCCCCCCTCCTCCTCCTCATCCTCCTCCTCCTCCTCCTCATCATCATCAGCAGCAGCAGCATCATCATCATCCTTACCATCATCATCATCATCAGCAGCAGCAGCATCATCAGCATCAACGTCACCGCCATCATCAACATGATCATCGTCATCAACATCACCAACATCATTATCATCATCATCGTCATCATCAGCATAAGCAGCCGCAGCGGCATCATCTCTATCATCATCGTCACCATCATAATCATCCTCATCAGCAGCATTAGCATCATCATCCTCATCAGCCACATCAGCATTACCTTCATCGTAATCATCATAATCATCCTCAACATCAGTATTGCCATCGTCGTCATCATCACCATCCTCATCAAAATCCTCCTCATCATCATCATCATCATCATCAGCATCATCAACATGGTCACCGTCATCACCAACATCAGCATCAGCATCAGCATCGTCATCATCAGAAGCAGCAGCATCGTACTTCGTGTCAGCATATGCAGCATCAACATCAACATCACCAATCATCGTCATCATCATCATCATCATCATCATAATCATCATCATCATCATCATCATCGGCATCATCAACATCATCAACATCATTACCGTCATCACCAGCAGCAACATTATCATCGTGATCATCATACTCGTCATCGTCATGATCAGCATCATCATCATAATCAGCGTCATCAGCATCATCGCCACGTCGTAGTAATCAACATCATCAACATGAACATCACCACCATGAGCATCAGCATCACAACAGTCATAACCACAACCACCATCGCCACAACCACCGCCAGCATCGTCACCATCACCACCACCACTATCATCATCATCCGCATCATCACCTCATCGTCATCGTCGTCGTCATCATCATAATCCATAGCTTCATCATAACCATCACCAACACGAGCATCATCATCGAGACTATCATCAACACCGCCGCCACCACCACCATCAACATCACCACCAACCACCACCATCATTCTCTTCAGAATCATCATCACCAGCATCAGCATCAGCATCAGCATCATCAGCATCATCAACATCACCATCAACAGCATCAGCGTCACCGTCATCATAAGCATCATCATCAACATCATCAGCACCAGCGTCATTATCGTCATTATCATCAGCATCATCATCAGCATCATGATCGTCACCACCACCACCATCATCATCACCACCCCAACCAACACCACTACCACCACCACCACAACCATCATCATCATCATCATCAGCATCATCATCAGCATCAACATCATCATCATCATCAGCATCATCATCATCATCGTCATCGTCGTCATCAGCATCAGCATCAGCATCAGCATCATCATCATCATCATCATCATCATCATCAGCATCATCAGCATCATCAGCATCATCATCATCATCATCATCATCATCATCATCATCATCATCATCATCATCATCATCATCATCATCATCATCATCATCGTCACCGTCATCGTCGTATCATCCCCGTGCCGCTCAAAAATCCGAACCTCCCAGAATTGCCGCACACCCCAGGACATCGTCCGCGAAGGCCCACCTCACCCCTCACACGGACCCGTCCTCCTGCAGCGCGCTCCGACCGGGCTCTCATGGCGGGTCCTGCCGTGGCGCCAGGGGTCCGCCCCTCGAAGGCTCCAGCAAGAGGAGCATCGGGACAAGCAGCCTCCCTGCCAGCGGACCTCTCCCCGCCAACGCGCGCTGGCCGGGCCTCGAGGCGGGCCCGCGCCGCTGCGGCCGGTGTGGGCGCCGCCCAGTCGGCCGAGGAGCTCGGCACAGACGCCCCAGCTTCCCAGGCGGTGTGGCGCTGGAGCGCCCAACTATATCAGACGAGCGCGTTCGACGACGCGCAGAGTGACCACTCGCAAAAGGGCCTGGATCCGCCGCGGGGGACCTACGGTGCTTCACGTCGAGGAAAGCACATGCTTTTCGGACGCTTTCGAGTAGGCACTTTGCGAGCAGTGGACCGCGCTCGGTGATACATACACCGAGCTCCTGCGCCGCACACCTTCGCTCCGTGGCCGACCAGACGACGCGTTGCCACATCCAGCCCCTCCGAGAATGCCGGGCCCCCCCCCCCCCCCCGGAAAGACAACCGGTGCGCCGAAGGGGGCGGGGCAGGCGGAGGGAGCGGGGGGGCGCGTCATGACCCGAGGCACATGCGCGGACGAGGGCGGACGATGGGCGAAGAAGAAGAAGAAGAAGCGATGCCAAACACGAACATGTAGCCAGGCTCGAGCTTACCCCTATCCCTGAGAGGGGCGAGCAAAAAGCGAAGACTGATTTATGGCTGTGCCCTCAGAATCATAAGGAATCCTTAAGAGCGGCATCGAGGTGAGGTGATGCCAAGCACAGAGATCGGGACATGTTTCCAACTGGTAAACATACAGAAGAATCAGAAGCATGACAAATTTTCCGACCCAACGGGCCAGAGGTGTGCTGAGAGTTCTGAAAACTGGTTCACAAAGCGTGTATGCATAGTCTAATTCGTGCGCGCGGGAGGCGGCCCCTGGGGTTCCCCAGACGAGAAGCACACCGGCCGCCTCACGGCAGGGTCCAGGCAAGTTCGGCTCAAGAGTGCGGGAACTCCCCGGAGCCGTTTTCGGTGTCCTCCAGACCCAAGAGCGCTCCAAGACTCCCAAGATGGCCCCCAGACGGCCCAAGAGGCTCCAAAGAAACCCCAAGAGCGCTCCACGAGGACCCCACAGGGGGCCAAAAGAAGCAAAAGTCATGTATGTGTCTTGTTTCTTTCTTTGCAAACGGTTACGCCCTGACGTCCCCTATACTTCCCCGGCAGCATACAGCGTCAGCGCCACAGTGGACTAATGCTGATTCAAAATTGTTACTCTACATGAATACGTGAGACAACTCACATGGCCCCACAAGTACTTCATCGTTTCCACAAGTCCCGTCTCCAGCGCGATAGCTTCTGCCTGGAATGGTGAAGCCCAAAGCCCTAGATGATGTGAACCACACGCTACTCGGCGAAAATGGGGCTGGCCGTCCCCCCTGGCATCGACAGCATATATGACCCAACTTATCGCCCCCTGGCCGGTACGCACCCCACCATCGGTGTATTGTTACATGTTTTTCGCGTTCTCGCGTTTTCGTGCTTCCGACGCTCCAAGATGGACCCAGAGGCCCTCAAGAGGGCCCCAAGACGGCCCGAGAGGCCCCCAAGAGGGCCCCAAGACGGTCCCAGAGGGCCCCCAAACGGCCGCCCAAGATCGCCCAAGAGGGCCCCAAGACGGCTCCAAGAGGGGCCCAAGAGGGGGAACACGAACCACCAATGCGAGCCTTCTGCCCCAAGAGGCCCCCAGGAGGCCCCAAAAGCCCCCCTAGAAAGCCCTGGAGGCCCCCTGGAGGCCCCGCGAGGCCCCCAAGAGGTTCTAAAAAAAGCCTCAATAGGCCCCCAAACATCGAAAAACCGGGGAATCACGATTGAAAAACCCGAAAACCCGGACTCCCGGGCTTCTGAGGAGTACCCCAAGGGACTCATTCCTTTTCGACTCCTGGGAGGGCTAAAAAACGACACCCCTCACGAGGATTCTGGCCCCGACGGGGGGGACCAGAAAAAATGCTCTCCTCTTCTTTGAAGCCAAAATCATTGATTTTACTACGGTTTTGGCACCATTTTGGCTTTCTGAGGGGGCAGCGCTCATTACAGCTCCCCTCTTCCTTCAAGGCAAAATCATTGATTTTACAAAGGGTTTGGGCTCATTTTGCCCTTCTGAGGGGGCAGCGCTAATTAAAGCTCCCCTCTTCTTTGATCGATGTCCTCCAAGATGGCCCCAAGAAGCGCACAGGAGGCACCAAGAGGCCCCAAGAGGCACCCAGGAGGCCCCCAAGAGACCTCCAAGAGACCCCCAAGATGCCCCCAAGAGGCCCCCAAGAGGCCCCAAGAGGCTCCCCCAAGGCACCCAAGACGCTCCTAGAAGCCCCTGGGGCCGCCAAGAGGCCCCCAAGACGCCCCAAACGGCCTCCAAGAGGCTCCCAAGAGGCCCGAAGAGGCTCCCCCAAGGCACCCAAGACGCTCCTAGAAGCCCCTGGGGCCGCCAAGAGGCCCCCAAGACGCCCCAAAAGGGGACGAGGTGCCCGAACGCCTCACGCCACGAGGAGCCCGAACGACTCACACCAGGACGAGGGGCCCGAACGACTCACACCACGAAGAGCCCGAACGACTCACACCAGAAGGAGGGGCCCGAACGACTCACACCAGGACGAGGCGCCCGAACGACTCACACCACGAGGAGCCCGAACGACTCACACCACGACGAGGGCCCCGAACGACTCACACCACGAGGAGCCCGAACGAGTCACACCAGGAGGAGGGGCCCGAACGACTCACACCAGGACGAGGGGCCCGAACAACTCACACCACGAGAAGCCCGAACGACTCACACCAGGACGAAGAGCCCGAACGACTCACACCACGAAGAGCCCGAACGACTCACACCAGGAAGAAGGGCCCGAACGACTCACACCAGGACGAGAAACCCCAAACGACTCAAACCACGAGGAGCGCTTTCTCTCCCTCCTCCTCCGCCTCGTCCTTCTCCCGCTCCCCCCACAAGGAGGATGTACAAGGAGGCGGGAGGAAGGAGTAACAGGGGAGATATGCGGGGCCAAGCGGACACACGCCTGAAAAACACGACTGTCGGCATGCTTCGCAAGAGTTGCTGTTGTGAGATGGGCTGGTGGGGATACGCGAAGCGTAGAGAATTAGGAGTTCCCCGTTCCTTAGATGCCTTCTTAAAGGCGGAAGTGGGGGGCCCCGAGGAGGAGGAGGAGGGAGGGAGGGAGGGAGGGGGAGGGAGGAGGACGACGACGAGGGGAGGGGGAGGAGGAGGGGGAAGAGGAGGAGGAGGAGGAGGAGGAGGACGAGGGGGAAGAGGAGGAGGAGGAGAAGGAGCAGGAGGAGGAGGAGGATGTAAAACCAAGAGTCACCAACGATGTTGCAGCCCTCCCCCCAAGCTCCCTTTTCATAGGCCCCATACAACGGTGTATTTCCACAGAGAGACCAGCCTCGTTGGAAGACAACCGTTTGATGAGCCTGAAGCATGCCAAGACATTTGCCTCGGTAGTCCAACGCCACGGATAGACCTGACTGTTGCGTCTTGACGATCCTGACTCATGCCAGAACGCCATTCCTGGGACTTCAATACCGCAAATCATCGTACTTGTTGCGCTATCATAACCGTGAATCCTTCCTAAACGGAATTTCTGGTATGTCGATCATGGAAATCTGTGACACCCGTGCAAAAGATTCAAAACATGTGCGCGGCGCTCAAGCGAGAACCATATCTTGAAAAAGGCCCGCGCTCAATCCGTGAAACTCTTACGAATGTTTAAGACGAATGCGCGCGGCGCTAAGGCGATAACCATATTTTGAAAACGGCCCGCCCTCAACCCGCGAAACTCTTGCAAATGTGAAAAACGAATGTACGCGGCGCTAAGGCGAGAACCACACTTTGAAAACGACCCGCCCACAATCCGTGAAACTCTTGCAAATGTTTAGAACGAATGTGCGCGGAACTAAAGCGAGAACCATATCTAAAAAACGACCCGCCCTCAATCCGTGAAACTCGTGCAGATGATAAAATCGAATGTGCTGGGCGATAAGGCAAGAACCACATTTCGAAAACGACCCGCTTGTGAACGACCCGCCCTTAATCCGTGAAACTCTTGATTTATTCGAAAACGACTGTGCGCAGCGCTAAGGCGAGCGCCACATTTTGAAAACGGCCCGCCCTCCATCTGTGAAACTGTTGCCAACGTTCAAGTTTCAGGGTCGCAAGTGGTGAGGAAATCTCAGGCGGAACGCCCGGACCGCCCGAAAACCTTGCCTCGGGGTGCGACAGGGAGAAGTCATCTATAAGGAGAAGGAATGGAGGAGAAGGAGGAGGAGGGGGGGAGGAGGAGGGGGAGAAGGAGGAGGGGGAGGAGGAGGAGGAGAAGGGGATGGGGGAGGGGAGAGGGAGGGGGGGAGAAGGAGGAGGAGGAGGAGGAGGAGGAGGAGGAGGAGGAGGAGGAGGAGGAGGAGGAGGAGAGGAGGAGGAGGAGGAGGAGGAGGAGGAGGAGGAGGAGGAGGAGGAGGAGGAGGGACGAGGCGGACGGAGGGGGAGGAGCGAGGAGGGGGGCAGGGGCGAGAGGGGCAGGGAAGGAGAGGGAGGAGGCGAAGGAAGACACGGAGGTAAACCAAGAAGAGGGCCAAGAAGAGGACTACATGTTACGCAAGAGGCGGAGGCGGAGCTGGAGAGAAGCAGCCCTACCCACGGGCGAGGGACGCTCTGCGCAAGGCTGTTGAAGCTGGACTTCAGGGACTGCACCTGCCGCGGGGCGCCGCTCGCGCCAGACTTTTCCTCCTCCTCCTCCTGCTCATCAGGATCATCACCACCACCATCATAATCATAATCATAATCATAATCATCATCATCATCATCATCATCATCATCATCATCATCATCATCATCATCATCATCATCATCACCACAATCATCATAATCAGCATCAGCATCGTCGTCATCATCATCAACACCAGCATCGTCGTCATCATCATCAGCATCATCATCAGCATCATCATCATCATCATCATCATCATCAACACCAGCATCGTCGTCATCATCATCAGCATCATCATCAGCATCAGCATCATCATCATCATCATCATCATCATCATCATCATCATCATCATCATCATCATCATCATCATATTGCCCTTCCGCCCCGTCCTCGTCTCCTCCTCCTCCTCCTCCTCCTTTTCCACTCCTTATCCACCTCCTCCGGCTCTTGGTCCCCCGCCGCCTCCTCCTTCTGCTCCTTTTGCTCCTCCCACTTCCTCCCCTTCATCCTCCTCCCTTGTTTTTCTCCTCCTCCTTATCCATCACTCTTCCTTATGAATACCTCCCCCGTCGCACCGCCAGACGTGCCTATAGGCCAAGCCGGACGTTTCGCGTGGGATGTTACTACCGATATGTGTCATGTCGTGTTCGTAATGTTGTTCTCGCCATGGCGCCGCACGCATTCGTCATACAACGAGTTCAAGCAAGTACAGGGGTGGAGGGCGCGTCGCGTTCAAAAAATGGCTGTTGCATTCGCGACGTCCACGATGATCTGAAACAACTCCAAAAGGATACAGCAAGACGGCTTCAAAGCGCTCCAAGAGGGCACAAAGACGACCAAGTGAGTCCCCCAAGACGGCGTCCGAAGGCGTCAGTATGGCCAAGAGTTCCTAAGACGGCCCAGCAGGCCCCCAAGAGGCTCCACGGAGGCTCCCAGGAGGCCCCAAGAGAGCCCATACGAGGCAGTATCCTCCTTGTCTTTATGTTCTCCCTCCTCCTCCTCCTCCTCCTCCTCCTCCTCCTCCTCTGCCTCCCCCTTCTCCTCCTCTCCTCCTCATCATCATCCTCACCCACCCTTCCTCCTCACGACGGCGCGGACCAAGATGAGATCGAGTTCGCGACCCGCCTCAATTCAGACCGCCCCCTGTACTGCAGCGGAGCGTGCCTCCCCCCATACCGCGTGGACGAAGACGAGATCGAATTCACGACCCGTCCCGACTCATACCAATCGTCGAAATTGCGGGGGTCCTGAACAATTCTCCTTGCCACTCCACTGTGCAAAAGCACTGTGGCAAAGTTTGCCGCAACCAACAGGGTACCTGCAACCCGCTACACTGATAATCCCACCAGCACTTTGGGCGTAGGTGGTCTAGGGAATTTCCTCTTCCATCCCCCGTCTTCCCCTTCGGGGAGGGGTTTACCCTCCCTCCACCACCCCCTCCCCTAAACCTGGACGGGGGGGCGGCGGGTAGCTGGAGCGTCTAAGATGGTCCAGGACGGCTCCAAGAGGGCCTCGGGAAGCCCAAGATTACATCCAAGATTGCCCAAGATAGCGCGAGATGCCTCAATCTGGCTTTCAAGCTGCTCACATAAGCGCCAAGAACGCGTCAAGACGGCTCCCAGGGCCTCCGAGACCTCCAAGGAGTTCCCCAAGAGGCCAATATCCCTCAAAAGCCTTATGACAATAATGAGTGTTGCTTTCTGGCCGATGGCCATCCGAGGCCTGAAGATGGATCCAAGATGGCACAAGAGGGCCCCAGGAGAGGCCCAAGCGAGCCCCACGACGGCCCCAAGAGCGCCCGAGAGCGCCCCAAGAGCGCACCAAGAGGCGACGTGTGGGGCTCCCGAGGGGGGAGGCGAATTGAAGCTCCCCTCTTGTTTGATCGATGTCCTCCAAGATGGCCCCACGAGCGCCCCTCAATCTCCCACGAGCGCCCCAAAGAAGGCCCCAATAGGCGCCCAGAGGGCCCCAAGAGGCGCCCAAGAGGCATCCAAGAGGCTCCCAAGAGACCCCCAAAAAAGCCTCAAGAGGACCCCCGAGGCACCAAGCACCAATACCCCTTCTCCTCCTCCTCCTCCTCCTCTTCCTCCTCCTCCTCCTGCTTCTCCTCTTCCTCCTCGTTGTCCACAGTCTCTTCCTCGTTCCTCTTCGTCGCTCTCCTCCTCTTCCTCCTTCTCCTCCTCCTCCTCCTCCTCCTCCTCCTCCTCCTCCTCTCAAGCCACTTGGGCCCAAGCTCGCTTTGCTTGGGCGCGAGACCTGCCGCTGTACCCGAAATGGTACTGGCTTGAGGGCCTCTGGAGTTTCTCAGGCAGATCGGCCTGGACCTCTGGAGGTGAAATGCAGGCTTATCGGATCACCTTCCTGATCTTGGTTGCATGTGATTTCTGCTACCTCTCAACTTGGTTTCGTCGGAGTTGCAAGAACGATTGGCTGATCTTGATCATCCTCATCGTCAGCTCGATGTCCTGTTCATCGACAGCGTCTGCGCCTCCTATTTCATGGCTGGGAGCGAGTACTATCCTGCACAAGGTCGATGGGGAGTTCCGTCGTATTCCCCGACCTCTGCCTATGGTGCGGCAGCATTCACAGGAGGAGTTGCACCTGGTGACTGGTCTTGGCAAGGAGGTTGAATCCCACGGCTCTTTCCTGAGCGTGCCGACGCCGCCGCCTCCGCCGAAGCCAGCGCCCAGAGCCGTGCCGACCGAGGAGATCACCAACGACACGAAGATCCAGTACTCCATAAGAGCTTCGCCAAGCAGGAGAAGAAGGCCGCAGAGCGGCTGAAGAAGGGGATCAGGCACAAGTGCAACCAGTCGAACAAAATGCTGAAAGTAGAGAAGCCGGTGTCACCGGAAGGGGCGCGGCCCGTCCGAGCTGCCAGGGAGGAGGAGGAGGAGGAGGAGGAGGAGGAGGAGGAGGAGAAAGGAGAAGGTCCCACTGGCCGTGGAGCGTCCGAGGCTGCCCGTGCCGCCGCAGCCACCGCCGCCCGGCGGGTGGACCTGCCCCGATCCGCACATGAGCGACCTTTTACGCGCAGGTCGTGAGGTGCCCGAGGACGCCTCCGAGGAGCGGCGCCAGGAGGGGTTCTTCATCGGCAGTTCGGTTGCCTCCGCCTCCGAACCCGAGGGCACGATGAACGAGCCTGGCCAGACGTACGAGAAGAAGCTCAATAAGAAAAAGAAAAACAAGGAGGAGGTGGAACAGGGCTCGTGCTGAGCCTGAGGCTCGTGTGGCGCCGTGCGCAGGCTGCATTTTCGAGAAGGCTGATGATGAGACCGAGGAGTTTCTGCCTGCCGTCGCTGCCGGCGTGGAGGAGTCTGTTTCCGAGCGTCGGGAGTGTTTCGAAGAGGATTTTGAGAGCCTGGGAGAGGACCTGAAGGAGAAACTCTGGTTTTCGGGCTATTTCCGACAACGGTCGTCGGCTGGGTCTTGAAGCTCTGCGCGATGTTCATCCCGGCTTTTCTTCTTTCGGAACCGTCTTATCGGCAAGGGTTTCTGGACACATTTGTCGGTGCTCCTCTTCTTCCAGCCCTTTCGGCTCAAACCCGCTTTTTAAACTTGCCTGGCCCTCTTCTTGGTCCACCTCCGTCTCTTCCTTCGCCTCCTCCCTCTCCTTTCCTGCCCCTCTCGCCCCTGCCCCCCTTCCTCGCTCCTCCCCCTCCGTCCGCCTCGTCCCTCGTCCTCCTCCTCTTCCTCCTCCTCCTCCTCCCCCCCCTCAACCATCATCCCCCTTTTGGAGTGCCGGACGGTTTTCCCCGCCCTGTGTTCTTCTGCATGCTCGCCCACTTCCCTGATCACTACAGTCCCCTGGGCATCGTTTCTGGATATGCTGGTGGGGGGTATTTTTTTCGGTCGCGTCCGCAAGCGACGGCGCAAGCGGAGTCAGGAGCGCTACGGGTCACGACAACGGCCTGGTGGGGGTACGTTTTGGTCGTCGGCTCCGAGGCAGCGGTCAGGGAGCGGAAGGCGTCGTCTGGGCCAGCAGGCGAGGCTAATCTGCTACAATCAGGCAACGCACCTGCAGTAATAATCCGCAAAGAATGCGAGGTGTGCACATGCCATGAGCAAAATGCTCCGCATTAAGGCGAGCGCACCTAGGCGCAAGCCACACCGAAGTGAAGCAGACTGCAGTGCGGCGCAACGGAGAAGTCGCCCTGTCGGCGCCAAGCCCCGGCTGGTGGGGGTACTTTTTTGATTGGCGGTTCCGAGGACAGATCCAGGAAGCGGGGCGGACTCGACTGGGGCACAGAGCGAAATAATGAGCTGCAGAGGCGCATAGGCCGCTGTAGCGAGTGCACATGACAGGGGCAACAAAAACCCTCATTGGGGGCTGGCGCTGGCGGCCCGGCAGTCGGGAACGCAAGCGCAGAACTGGAAGCGGACGGAAAAGGAGCTGTCGCACACGTGGCGCCAAGCTCCAACCGCGCCGGACAGCGCGACAGGGCGTGGAGCACGCTGCACTACGGCGGCACGGGGTGGCCAGGCGTGGCCGCACCGTCCAAGCAACATCAAGTGAGGCAAGGAACAGGAGAGACACGGCGGGCGCAAGGGCACGCGGCAGTAGGAAAATGGGAGGGCACAGATGGAAGCCTCACTCACAGTGACTCAAGGGACGCTCTTGGGCATGAGAGCGACCAGAACCCAATCAAGGAACAGTCGACCGTGTCGTCTGAGCCCACAGCCTGCAACTTCTCCGACACTGAGGATCGGGGGCGTAAAGCTGCAAGCACTGGTCGAGTCACCTGGCCCAGCCTGCAGGGAGGACCGTGATGATCTGCCATGGGATGAACCACTTGTGCAGGAGCTTGAACGCGAAGGCGACGACCCCAGTCAGGACCCTGTCGTCGACGTCGCCGGTGCCCACCGCGAGCAACTTATCCGACGCGGGGGTCGGGGGCGCAAAGTCGCAAGCGTAAGCCGGGGCACCTATGACGGACCTGCTGGGGGATCCGCGATGACCCGCCAAAGGATGAACCACTTGTGCAGG